AAAAAAAAAAAAATAAGTTTTTGTTATAGTGTTATGAAAAAAAAACACGTTTTTGTTACAATGTCTAATTTAATTTTGCTTGCTTTTGATTATATGTTTTATTCTGAATATTTATGTTAAATTTTATATATCGATTGGGGAACATGTTTTTTACATAATTGTACTTGTTAATGCTTGTTGATCGTGTACTCGGTCCTTTTAAAGGTGTGGGTACTCGGCCTTCATAATATTGTCCTTTTAAAGGTTTGGGTGCTCGGCCTTCATAATATGACTGTGTACAAAAATCCATAATGCATTCTTGATTACTTTTTTTTATTTTATTGTTTTTTTATTTTGGTTATATCTAGAGCTGTAAACGAACAGAACGTTGGCGAACAAAAGCTCGTTCGTGTTCGACAAAAGCTCGTTCCTTTGTTAATCGAGTCGAGTTCGAACATAAAATTAGGCTCGTTTAACAATAGAACAAACACGAGCTTGTTCGTGAATGTTCGATTATGTTTGCATACATTAATTTAATATATTTTTATTTTATTTTTTGTATATTTACATAATATTTTTAATAAAAAATGTAAAATTTAATAAAATTTTATTTATTTTTTGTTTATTTACATAATATTTTTAATAAAAAAATCTAAAATATAAAAATATTTTTATTTTATTCTTTTATTTTCGAGTTCGAACGAGTTCGAACGAACAATTTCAAGTTAATCAAACATATATAAAAAGTTTATGTATTAAATTATTCGAACTCGAACGAACTCGAACTTTGACGAACAATTAAACAAATGAACTCGAACACGATTTTTCGCTCGAAAAATAAACGAACTCGAACATTGTTCGAACGTAAACGAACACGGACTCGAACAACCCAAACTCGGTTCGGTTCGGTTCGGTTCGTTTATATCACTACTTATATCACCTAAATGCTTGATAAAATCCTAAAAACTAAATGAACGATTTCTCCGAGTTTGAAACTAAAAAAAATCGGAGATCACAATTTCCATGAGCCCCAGGTGTTTTATAATCCTAGCTCCGCCTCTGGTCGTGGCCTTATTATTTTTCGTTGGAGGATTATTTAATTTAACATTATATTAAAAGCGAAAAGCTAAAACATATCTCAAATTACGTGTCACTAAAAAAATGATCAACATTTGGGCTGCATATATTTTCCAATAGAGGAAATCTACATTTATAATTGTGAGCTATTAACTAATGCTATTTTTTCACTTTTTTATTTAATTATATAAAGTAATCATTATATTTTGTATTAATAAAGTATAATAGTATTGTTTTTTAAGTATTATATAATATAACAATCACTACTAATATTAACTAATTATAAATTCACATTAAAAGGTTTGTGGAAGTTACACGCTTATAAAAAAATTAAAGAAAACCTTTTATTCAAATTATTTATTTTGAAAATTATTATTATCTTTTAATTTTTATCTCCTTAAGCGGTTTTTTTGTTTAAATAACTAATACAATTATTGGTAAAACAAACACCTTGAAATCGCATAATAAATTACCATGATAATAACTAGTACAACACTCATGATTACATGGATGCTAACTAAAAAATTTATACGAAAATTCTAAAATAAAATATGTAAGAGAGAAGTTTTTGTATTTAAATTTTAAATTCTTTTTAAAAAATTCCATTATTATTTGCACTTAAAATGTGAATTTTCACTTGTACGAGTTGCTCGCCTAATATAATAACTTATTTTTTTACTTAACATGCAATGAATTTATCTTTTTAATTGATATATGATTTCTTTAATTTTTAATTAATAATAATAGATAATTTTATTCTATAATTAAAAAGGTAAAATTATTTGTCTATTTTATATTTGCAATATGGACATCAAATAAAAGCTCGTCAAATGGTAATCAATTTGATGTATTATAAATGAAAAACTGATAACACATATAGATTTTATTCTACTTTAAATAAATTTATAATTAGGTTAGTCAAGTATTTTATAATTTAACAATTCTAATAAGTATGGATAGAATCCAAACAAATTTGGAACTCCAGAAACTGACACATAATAATATGAAGCACCGGAATTAGTGATGCAGAAGAGTTATTATTATTACTATTATTATTATTTAAAATATTTAGTAGCTTTCTTGGTGATCAAGTTAGGTTTAGGATTATGAGTCTTATATAAAGGACCCCCTTTAGTTTATTTTCCTTGGTTGATTATGAATGAAATATGAATCGGTTGTCAGTTTTATCGAGAGAGTATCTTGTTTATCTTTCCCACTCGTACGCTTCCCTACATCAGTTGGTATCAGCAGTCAGTACGATTCGCGATGCCGCCGGGACGACAAGATGCCGCAAACGAACGATGTGACGTAACCTTCAACAATCGGTTTCAACAGATCGACTATCGATTTCAACAATTGGACGTGCGTTTCACGGATTGGTTTGCCGATCTTTCGACGGGGATCGAGGATTTGCGTTTGACGCTTAACAACATGGTTGTTTCGGATTTGCAGACGAACCGTGACGCCGGCAACGGGGCGTGCGTGGGGGAGTTCGCGGAGGACATGGAGGCCGTGGTCCAGGCCGGGCGCCCCGCTGGAGATCTCCACAACCACCGTCCGGCGATGAAGACGGCGAGGAGACAATCTCGGAGGTGAATCCCTTCGGCGATTGTCCACCCCCGCACGTCGAGCCAGTCTTCGTGGACGGTAACGATCAACGCGATGACAGAGCCAGGCTCGAGGAGACTGCCTTTTCCAACGGATATCGTGCCCGACGTGATTGGGGACTTGATTGTGAATATAGTCAATGGAAGGGTCCGTTTTGCGTTGACATCCCCGAATTCGATGAAGAGCAAATTGACGGGCCATTGTACGATGGTTCGCCGGTGTTTGATGAAGGACCCGAGGAGGTGGAGGAGCGTCTTACCGGCGAAGTGGACGGTCTTTACGACGGTCCATCGATTTTCGATGAGGAGCCTTCGTGGCCAGAGGAATTCCATCATGTTCCGGATGTCGAAATTCAACTGTTGGAAGAATTGGTAGTTCTTTTGTTGTGCAGGCCCGAGCTTTTCTCTCACGGGAATTTATTGCGGCCTTGCAAAAACATATGTTATTTTTTGGTCTCCATGGTGACTTCAAAATTCTTTGTATGGTTGTTGCATATATGTCTTTCCATAAATTTCAAGTGGGTGATACCATGAAGGTGCGACATTCAACCTTCGTGTTCGACAGGGGAAAACGCCGGGTGATTATTTCCATGGGCAAGACTCCGGTGTCGACACGTTTGGTGCGGCTTCGAGGCGGAAGCCTTCCGAACCGGAGGAGAATGATGCAGAAGAGTTATTATTATTACTATTATTATTATTTAAATATTTAGTAGCTTTCTTGGTGATCAAGTTAGGTTTAGGATTATGAGTCTTATATAAAGGACTCTCTTTAGCTTATTTTCCTTGGTTGATTATGAATGAAATATGAATCAATTGTGAGTTTTATCGAGAGAATATCTCGTTTATCTTTCTCGCTCGTACGCTTCTCTACATCAATTAGACACATATGATTACAAAACACAATAAGTTGTCGATACGTAGGATCAGAACACTCTACATTTATATATATGGAGGGATAATAATGATAATTGCACTAATTAATTGGTCACGATTCCTGAAATTTCTAAAAAAAACATTATTAATGTAAAAAAAATGTACCTATTTAACAGTTTCATTTTTCATAAATAGAAGACTTAGAAAATTGTCTAAATCATTTTAAGGTGAATGAGAAACTAATTTTACATTGAAATGTGGGAAAATATAATTTATTTAACTGAAAATTAAGTTTAAGTAATTTAATATTGTTGATTCACAATTGTTTGGTCTTTGATGAATATTTGAACAAGTCAAACAAGCTATAGTTATGCTCTTAGGCATGCTAGGACAATAATAGGGTTCGTTAGGGCTAATGATGGAAGATAAACAAAAAAATTAAAAATAAACACGAAGAAAAAAGAAATAGAAAAAAAATAATAAAAAAATATTTTTCATTTTTTCTTTAATAAAATTAAATGTTGAGTTGTAAATGACACATCGACTTAAACAGACCAAATTAGTTAAATCAAATAGGAGATGCAAAGCTAAAGCAACCAGTGGAGGCTATTCTTCTGGACATCAGAGTTTGTCTGGAGCAAGGTTTGCAGTTGGGCTGGGAAAGGGTGGTGCTGACCATTAATGATAAGGTGGTGCTGAATTTAGTGGTTTCAAAGACTTTCTGCAGCTGGGGTATCTCAGCCTTGGTTGGTGATATTTG